GAGCAACATTAGTCTTCCAGCCCTCTAACCATCACTACAGCGTCGGAAACTGCCGGGTCACAGCCATTTGCTTTGGAAAATTGGCGATGTTTGGTGCTAGAGATCGATTACCCTCGTAATCTTCCCCCCCACCGCCACCTCCTCCTGCTTACCCCACCCCTACCCACCCCAGACAATAGCGTCCGAGCTCCTCCAGGAAAAAAATAGAAAAGAAAGCAAGGAAAGAAAGAAAGAAAGAAAAAGAAAGAAACTGAGGGATGGATCTGACTCCAATAGGAAAAGCGTGTCTCTAGAAGTGGTGCTAATGGGAAGAGATTTCCGAGCTCCAGAGGACGATGATTTGTCACAAAGGGTAGCTGGCTCGGTGCTTTGGGCTGGAGCCGTGTAGGAGATCCTTGGAGAAGTCATTGTGCACAGAAAACCGAAGACCTGTACAAACATGCCTGTTCGCAGAGGTCATGTGGCACCACAAAATACATTTCTGGGTACAATCATACGAAAATTTGAAGGGCAAAGTAAGTTCTCTCTTTCTATCTATTTTGCTACAGTAGTTTGATTCTGCTTGTGACTAAATGGACAGCAGCTCCAGACTATTTTAAGTTTGTAGCTTGCAAAGAAAACCCCCGAGGTAAGGAGGGGATCCCTGGCTGGAGTAACATTGTTTTTGATCTAGAATACAGATTACCGACTTGAATTATTGGGCTTCTTTTCTTCCCCTCCCTCGTTTCAAGGAATAGTTTTTATCTTTGTATCCATATTGTATAGCTGTAGAAGTTCTATCTCTTACCTTGTTCTGAACTGGTGAGATGGCTCTAAAAGCAGAGTGTACAATCTTCCTGCCTGTGCAATGTCTAAAAAAATCAGCTAGATTTATTGTTGTTATTGTTGTTGTTATTATTAATTATCATTGTCTTTTCAAAATAAAACAGAACTGTCAGACTTTGATTTAGAGGAAACAGATAATATGCAGAGGAGTTATTAAAGGGAAGATACTTTCTTACCTTGTTGTCATGACTGCATTTTAATGTAGCTGTCAAATATTTCTGCTTTGTTTATGCAAGCTTAAAATAATCAAACCAGTGCAAATGCATCCTCAGGGAGAGTCTGTGAGATCTTTTCCAATGCAGCAGTTTACTACCTGTCAAGGAAGCTGAAGCTGAAGTGTTTTTCCTGGCCGGAACTCTGGTTTACTGTTAACAGTAAGAAGGAACACTTGATGCTTAAAATGAATTTCATTTAGAAACAGTGTGTTTGATATATGTACATTTATTTAAATATTTAGCATATTTTTAGTATCACTCTGGTGCAAACCCTTACAGCTAACTCCAGTTTATATACTTCATTATACCTAAACCCACATTACCAATTTAATATTTGTATTATTAGAGAAAATTGAAGAGTGTTTGTAGTCCTAATTTATCTAAGTGCTAAGTCAGTGTTGCTACTCAAGTAAAGTTTTTAAGCAGTAAAGTGTATATATTTTGAGGAGAATAATGCACTACCTACTAACTAGGCAGGTGATAGTGAAAATTCAGCATGATTGAAAGACAGTAGAAAAAGCAAGAATGAAAGCTATATTTCAAATATTTCACTGTGTTCAAAGACAGAAGATCTTTAAAATTTTCAAGACTTGTACTGCTAACTTGGTGCCACTTAAAAAGTCTCTTATAAAGCAAGGGACCTACTAGTGTGATTAAGTAAGCAGAAATTCATGTTATTAACAGTAACTGTATTAAAGCTGCACATTTATAATTACAATGGGAATAGTGTGTTGTAGTGGTAAACAGAAACAAATGAAATAACAGTTGAAAAGTTTTGAACCTTTCTGTCAGGTGATGGTTTGGGAAAGGATGATGGACTGAGGCACAGAACTTCAGCGGACTGTACAACATGTTTCCAACATCACAATCTTTGTTTTTCATGTACCTTCATACTCCTTTTTTTCCTGCTAAGGAGTATTTTCTTTCATAAATGTAACTTCTAAAACAATTACAGAGGGAAAAAATAAATCATGTTCTTTGCTAGATAGTTTTGTTAAAATACTGACTATAAAATTCCTGTCATTCACCTCAATGAAAATCCCTACAGAGTAGTCTGAGCTGGTTGGACCTTATCCCAGGAAGCCCTTCACTTGAGTAGACCCCCCTTCCCAAGGCCCCACTTCCCCCCAAAAGAAGCTACTAACTTTTCAAGGACTTTCCTGGAGTTATGGACAGGATGGCGCTCATCACCTGGGTTTCAGTGAAGCTAAAAAAGACCAAATTTTTAAGTAAAAAGGAGTTTTGCAAAAGACTTGCATACTCTGGCTTTATTTCCTTAAAAGACAACTTTCTTCATCTTTAATGTACTCTAAATTTATTGAAGTTTCTTTAAAAGCTATGGATCAAGTTAGCGACATTAAATGACTGAAAATCTCTGCATTTCAGGCATCCCAGTGAAAAGAAGGGTTGTTTAGCATCCGTCCATGCAATCGACACTTTATGAAATGTTGAAAGAGTACTAAAAAATGCATCACTTTCTTTTATTGCAGATAAAAAATTCATCATTGCTAATGCTAGAGTGCAGAATTGTGCTATCATCTACTGCAATGATGGTTTCTGTGAGATGACCGGGTTCTCCAGGCCGGATGTCATGCAGAAACCTTGCACCTGTGATTTTCTTCATGGGCCAGAGACCAAAAGACATCATATTGCCCAAATTGCTCAAGCACTGCTGGGGTCAGAGGAGAGGAAAGTAGAAGTCACCTACTATCACAAAGATGGTAAAGTCTGTTTTTATTTTCAAGACTTTTTGTGTGTTTGGTTATCAGTTGATTGGTAAAAGAAGTGTGTACGATCTGCTGGCTAGACCCTTTGCTGGAGTAGTAATTTCTCTCAAGTCCAGTGAAGTACGCTTATGTATACCAGTAAGGGAATCTGCCCTGAAAGTAGTGGGTGTATAGAGTATATCACTGTACGCTGACTCTAGCAGCTGAATGAAGCTAGCACTGTGTTTGCAACTGTTGAACGGAAGTTCTCCTCACGGGTGGTTTAAAGCAGATCTAAATGTCCTGAAGTAAACAGCCCTACAACAATGAACAGGTAACACAAGCACCCAGGGGACATCCTGTGAATGTGAATTTGTATGAACTGTTTCATCTCACAGGACATAGGAATGGTGTATCAGTTTCGAGGGGCTTAACTCTGCCTGCCTCACACAATTGGAATCGTACCTTGATTTAAATGCAGTATTTTACTGGAAAAAGTACGAGGTTAGAAGTAGCAAAAATTGGCCTATCATGAAGAAAGCATTAGCTTCTAAAGAAAGGGACAAGTCTTTTTCAGATATGAGATACTGTGAAGCTGGTGTACCTACAACTGAACCACAGAAGTTGTCCTAGAATTATGTTGTCAGAGTGAAAATTTGGGGATGGCTAAACTGTGAAGAGTTGCCCTCTTATCCAGTGAAGACTCAATATATATCTGTTAACACTATTGCTGACATAAGGAAGAATGGCTAAATCTGCTATGCTGATGCTTTTTTCCTGTTAAGAGCATAAAATTAATAAATGGCTGTATTTGCAGATTAAAAAACGCATACGCATGAAAACTTATTATGATACATAATAGTTATATGTAGGGGTTTGTTGGTTTTTTTTTTTTTTTCTAATTACCCAGGGTTGTTTACAGAAACATCTGTCTTTCAAACAAATCCAAGTATTGGATAAGTATGGTGTACCTTATTCTGTCTCTTGCTGTGTACACTCTTGGGAGAAGGAAAAGGAAATTCATATTCAAATGCTGAGCTTAAATTAGTTCTGGAGAAGTGCCAGTGTGGTGTTTGCATCAATTTTAGAATCACATGCAGTGGATGCTCTCGCATTTTAAAGTCACAGAGTTAAACCCTGTTCTCAATAATTCTGTTGTTTTCTCAGAGAGACTTAAGTAATATTATTTTTAGCTTAGGCTGGTATAATTCAGATAGGATGCGGGCCAACCATTCTACCCACGATACCAATATTTAAACATATTCTTCTTAGCACATTCTTAGTAGAGTCCTTTATTCTTAGATCTGGTTCGGTGGTCTGGAGCAGATTTTGGTGAAGATTTGTTGTTGTAGCTGTGCCTTGAACATAGATTTCTCAGGAGACCTGACACCATGCCTCTTTTACACATCTAGCCTATATTTGTTTTAACTTGGAGTGTGTTAAAAATAATATTGCAGAAAGAGAATGTCATTGCTAACTTTCACAGCCGCCAGCCGGGAGCACTGTTTTGAGGTCCAGTCATTTAAAAGTGCTTCAGACTCCCAAGATATTAGCAGGGAGGGAAAGGCACTTAACTAAAGTACTGTTTAGCTGTTAATTACCATAAATACATATTTTTCTAAAATGCTGAGTTCTGGCATCATGCAACACACTGTAATCTGCTTGAGGCAAACCAAAGTAAAACTGTCCGTAAAAATTACCGTATCTTTTGTAAATAGTTTTGAATTTCGAAGCACATTATAAATGAGAGTTATAGATTATTCACTGTAAACAATCTTATGCATAAGGATTCTCAGTAACTTCACTTCTGTGAATAGATTCTTTAAATTACTAGACCATATATTTGAAGGTTAAGGAATTTCAAAAGCTGCAGACGACAGTTCTAGACGAATTTGAGTTGAATTCCTCAAAATTTTAAAGGTCAAAATGTGAACAGGACTTACCATGTGCACTATATGCACTGCTAAATTTAAACAAATACAGGTGAATTATTTTGAACTGTAAATGTAATTTAAAATATCAAGTCACTGATTACAAGCAAAAATCAACAAAACGCAAGATAGGTCTGACACTCAAAGGCATAACTGTCTGACAGCTTGATCATTTGTATATACAGACTTTTTTGTTTCTTTCTACATAATGTTCAACTTCTTTAAAAATGTGATAAAAAAGATCTGAAGTTTATGTGGTATCATAAAATTGAAACTACCTACACGATGGATATAATAAATGCCAGTAAACATACTCTATAGTTATTCTAAATTACTGAAAATATATGCTTCACTTTTGATCTTCACTTCTTCACTTACTTCACTTTTTCAAATCTGCAAATTTGTTTTTGCAATATAGAGAGTATGTATGTATATGCTATATATAACATACTCTGTGTATTATAACAATATACAGAATGGTGATACCTAACAAGGACTTCGTCCAGGTTCTGAAGCAAAATGAATTTAAAGAATTTTCTAAAAATCTGAGTGTTTAGTGCCTGGTTAGTGGCTTATTTTGTACTGTGTGCTGTGAGTGAATATGAGAATATTTTAATAGGTCAATACCAGCACAGTTAGAAATATGACTTTCTCCATGTGAGTAACCCAAGTTACTCCAATGAACTACCCACTGCTTGAAAGTTTGATTTGACATTATGTTTTATAGCCATCCGTTGTATAATGTTTAACATAATACTAAGCATATGGAGGAGGAAGACAGCTTATGAAGGTGTGAATCGCTTGAGGTTCCACCGACAGGAGTTTCTGAAGACCATATTACACAGTCCTGAATAAATGCCCAGTGAATTGCAAATAAAACCTTATTCCACATCACACTATCATTTACTCTACATAAGCCACTGATTATATTAAAAATTATTTTAATATTTCAAAGTAAAGCAAATGTCAGTGGGATCATATATCCCCTCACTTATAAAGCTAAACTGTCATCAGAAGTCCAGCAATGCAGATATCAGAAAGGGAATTACTCTATAACTAAAGCTTTTTCTTTTTAATTCTAAATACCACCTCAGTTTTAAAATGTCACAGCTTTAAAGTTCAACTTAAAAGGAAATTCTTGTACTAGAAAAATGGTATTGCATACGTTCTGATGTTCTCTACTGGTCTACGGTCCCCTTTTCTAGATGAAAGAAAGTGCAAGGTTTTGAGTTTTAAACATCTTGATGATGCAAGACTGAATGCTGCTGTTTGTTCACCGCTTTAATCTTTCGGCCAGATCACACACTTGAAGGGGGACAGAAGGATGGGAAAAAATTTGTAGCAAGTTGATTTTCAGAAAATGGCAGTTGCTTGAATGTACACTGCCTTAAACACGGCAGACAGAAGATACAGTGGTCAAAGGAGAACGCAAATTCGGTGTATCATGGTTTTATAAACGTGTTACCTAGACTGGGCATGTTTCGCTTTCCACTGTGCGGTGTGGGGAGGGTGCAGAGGAGAGGGGGAGAATACTTGTGATAGCTTTGTGTAATTGTTTAGATGGCGTGGAGGTGGGATGCTAGCGTTACTTATGCACCCAGCAGGCCCTGTCCCAGCCACACTGGTGCCCTGTCTTCACAGAAGTTTTTAACGTTTGCAGCTAAAAACCTTACTAGCTGCTCTTGCAGTATTTGTATCAGAATAAGACTGTTAATATAGCCTACATTTGGTTTTAGTTTCTCCTTCCTCCTTTTTCCTTTCAGAAAGGTATTTACACAATCCAGGCAAAGTTCTAGTCCTCTGTCCCGTTAGAGTAGTGCCACAGTATGTGATTACGTAGTTATTGAAAGAATTAATTACTGCTGAGAAAAATGGTTAATGGGAACAGATGGATGCTGAAACTAAGGGTCCAAATCTGTAGGTTCTCACCACACAAGAAGCTCCACAAACATCACTGGATGTACTCATGGGATTAAAGACTCAGTAAATTTCTTTTTTAATGTAAATATCCATTTTAAAAAAACACAATAGATAAATACAGACAAATCACAAGAACTATTATTTTGAAACAGTTTTTTTTAAAGTCTTGTCCATTAGGCATTAACATCTGCTTAATTCAAAAATTATACTCTGATATCAAAGTACCAGTGTAGTATATTCCTCAGTATTTCACAACTTTATTTTCACAAATCATATAGCTATATGATCTGTATTATAGTTGAAGGTAAGATATTGTTTATACAGAATATCAATTCTTATTTTAATAAAGTTATTTGTGGTGAAAATGTTTGACAACTCTTCCTTTGAGGACTCCATTTTGCAGTTTAAGTCATTATTGCATAAATCACTCTTGACAGCTGTAAAATATTGCTTGAGGTGGTAAAGCTGTAAAGCTTTTGACATAAAAGGTATAATTATTTGGGGATTGAGAATGGATATATGATAATCAGAGAGGACTGTATCACACTGAATACTTTTTTACTTCTTACTCTATGCTTTGTGGACAACAGTGGGCTATATCTAAGCTTACAGAGTATACCTGGTAAAGAGCTCATTTAAGCTTACCCTATACACACCAGATATTCTAGGGACAAGAAGCACTACAGAAGAGTACAGGTTTGAGGAAAGATAAGATTAAGCAATTATTTGCAGAGTGTTTACAAACCTCACAAATTACTTGTCACTTATCCAGTTTGAGAAATCTAATTTGCTACATTTGACTGCAAATTAAACATATTTGTATTTTCAAAACACATTAAGATTCCAAACTAATATTTTTAAGGTTTTTTTAAGCTCTTTTTTGAGGATAAGAAAATTTAAAAAATGTGTAAACATCCTGACAAAATAAAGTGAAAATGGTGTTAAGTGTTCTGAAATAGAAAGATCAGGACTTCATTTAGAAGGTCATCATCTAGACTTCAGCCAGTGTAGGAGTTTTATCACCTGTTTGTGTTCTATAAATGCTGTGAACCTACTAATCAATTAAAAATACAACTGAAAAGAAAGACCCTTGCATGTATGTCAAGTCCCTTTAGATTAGCTCTGACATGAGGGTCAGCAAGTGCAGTTTTGACTGTAGATGCA